GAATATTCGATGCCTGTAACATGTAGATACTCAATGCTTTGTACACTATACAATCAGTGTCTTTAGGGAACCAACTCCTATATTGTGTATGAAATGAAAAAGTAAAAAAAAACATCAATACACATGATATTAAATTTTATTACACACATTCGTAGAATAATTACTGTAAAAGGCATGATGTTTTATTTGAAAGGCTACTTTTCTACTGGTAAAATTTTATACAAGCTTAGTGGGGGTTGTATCTTAGTCTAGGCATGTATTTGCCCATTGCTATGCATTATATATAGAGAATTTAGTTACTCAGAAACTATAAATGTTCACTATATTCTCAAAGTAATCTACATGACAATCTCTAGCTGCAGCTTAACATTTTACATCTCAAAGTAATGAGATCAAATAGTCAATAGCTACAGTAAATCATCATGAACCATATCAGCTAACTATTAGCTATCTTTATTATTATTACAATGTATAGTTAGCTACCATATCAAGTAATCCTTTGCCCATAGTTGAGCATAAAGAAAGCCAGCAAATAAGATAAGTAAAAGATTGGGAATTTAAAAATCTGCAAATAGAGATCGTAAAAAAAAAGTAAGGAAACAAGGCTGGAGATACTGTAGACATTATTTACTCAATCTACAAACCTCTATTTTGACTTCACCAAATGTAATTCTAGGTAACAGCATAGAGCCAAAATAGTGGTTTGTAGTTTGAGTAAATAATGTCTACAGTATCTCTCGCATTGTTTCCTTACCTTTTTTACAATCCCCATTTTGCATGTTTTTAAATTCCCAATTTGTTATTTATTTTGTTATGATAAGAATGCATTGTTTCATTATTTGGGTACCCTCACTGTTAATAATATTTTCTGTCATAATTTAAACCCAATAATATTTCACAAGGTTCAGCCAGCCAATGAGACTTAGATTAGTCCTAAATCCATACATTTATCTAACAATGAAGTATAATCATTATAATAAAATAAAAGCATAAAATTAGAAATAATAAAAACTAATAAATAAAGGTAGATTTATTAAATATCATAAACAACCCGGTGTGTAAAAAGTAATAATTACACTTAACATATTTAGGATGATCTTAAACCCGTGAACTAAACTAACAATGTGAAATTATCTTTATAATAATAAATTAAAATTAGTTATAATAATATAATAACCAGTATTGTTAATTACAATAACCTTAAAGAAAGAATAGGTGTTAAATCATGAATGTGATCCATCATTTACACACACAAAAAATACTATTAAAAGCTAATAAGCTGAAATAAACACATTAAAAATTAAAAAAAAAGAAAAATAAGGAAACCAATATTGTGTAAAATTCTAAATACTTATTTTGCTGTTGATTTATATTCTGTTTAAAATATTTATTGGTATGACAGCAGAAATGCTTCTTTATTAAACCAAACATTGAATACTTTGAAAAACAATTAAAGGGTGGCATGGCGAGAAAATCTGAAACTGGGTACTTGCTGGGAAAAATACATGAGTCCTGTTTTGGTAATTTAAAAAAAAAAAATCTAAAATTGGTTACAAATATCAATATTTTTAGTGTATAATACATAGTTAAGTGATAAATATAATACACATAGTTCTCCTGTCTTCAGATCTGTATATTCATGTAGTCTCTTTTTATTGCTGAATATGACTGTTTTAACCTTGTTTTTAGCATTAAGAGCTAGTAAACTTATGGTTGTCCCTTTGGGGCACTCGTCTTTATTATATGGGCCTTGTTTCATTCCTCAAATTAATAATTGATGTCTGGATCAGGTAGTTTAGAATCTGCATTTTTTATTATCCGTACTGACATCTGAAATAATTATAAAACTTCTTGTTCTTCCAACATTGGAAAATCTTGAATTCAGTATCAGAATTGTGTTATTCGGTGAACACTTTGTGCGATGAATACTAACATATACGATAACTTAATTCTAATAACTAGTTGTTTTTATATAACTAGATACTAACTAGTTTTATCCTGTGTTTTGGCTGATGATGTGCTGCAATCTTTAGAGAATCCTGAGAAGAACTATTTCTGTGTTGGTAATGGCTAGGATTCAATACTTGGTCTTCTTTGATGGAAGTTTGGTGTAGTATCCAATTCAGTATAAACTTGAGTCAACTAACTGTTCGACAGTGATTGAGATCCTATCACCACAACATTACTGTGAATAATTGTTAACACGTGCTTTACTAGTAATAACTAGTCGGGTAAACTTTATTTAACTCACTTGGCTGGCTAGGCATGCATGCATGTGAGAGGCCTCATTAATAGCTAGTAGGTTAACTCTTTAGCTCAGTTGGTAGAGCAGCCGACTGGCATGACATGCATACGAGAGATCTATGTAATAAATAGTGGGTTAACCCTTTAATGCCTGGCATGGCATGTGTATAAGATATTCCAGTAATTATTATTGGGTTAACCCTTTAACTCAGATGATATAGCACTTGACTGGCTTGGCATTCGTGCAAAAGATCCCTATAATAGCTAGTAGGTTAATCCTTTAATTCAGTTGGTATAGCATTTGCCTGGTTTAGCATGTGTAGGAGAGATCCCAGGTTCAGGCCTGCTCATGGGAGATGCATTAAACTGAAACCTAGATTAGAAAAGTTTAATCCGTAGTGTATTAAACTGAAACCTAGATTCGACAAGTTTAATCCGTAGTGTATTAAACTGAAACCTAGATTCGACAAGTTTAATCCGTAGTGTATTAAACTGAAACCTAGATTTGACAACTTTAATCTGTAATGTATTAAACTGAAACCTAGATTCGACAAGTTTAATCCGTAGTGTATTAAACTGAAACCTAGATTCAACGAGTTTAATCTGTAATGTATTAAACTGAAACCTAGATTCAACGAGTATAATCTGTTGTGTATTAAAGTGAAACCTAGTTTTGATGAGTATAACGTGTAGTGTGTTAAATAGTAGCCTAGATTCCACAAGTATAAGCTGTATGTGTTCTTCATTACCCATTCAAGCCATCTCCAAGCATTATTGACCTGTAGTGTATTAAACAGAAGCCTAGATTCCACAAGTTTAACCTGTAGTGTATTAAACAGAAGCCTAGATTCCACAAGTTTAACCTGTAGTGTATTAAACAGAAGCCTAGATTCCACAAGTTTAACCTGTAGTGTATTAAACAGAAGCCTAGATTCCACCAGTTTAACCTGTAGTGTATTAAACAGAAGCCTAGATTCCACAAGCTTAACCTGTAGTATATTAAACAGAAGCCTAGATTCCACAAGTTTAACCTGTAGTGTATTAAACAGAAAATCTAGATTCCACAAGTATAATCTGTAGTGTATTGAACAAAAGCTTATATTTCATAAGTATAACCTGCAGTGTATTAAATGTGCAGCTGTCAGGAAACATTGGTGTTAATCTATCGGAATTTGTTGTATTGGTGTATGCAGGATTACGGCCCTGCTTTCAGAAGATCTATGAATGTATTTGTCAAAGATGTTTTCTCAAATTTACCAATACAGTCAAAAGAAAACTGAGAAGAACAGATCAAATTATTTTCAGGTAAACACATGACTTGAATTTTTTTTACGAAATATTACTGTGAATTTATCCAAGCAGATCTTTGGAACCTGGTTTTTAAAGTATGATATTAGAAAAATGAAACAAAGAAAAAAACTCATATACCAATATCTCATGCATATGTATTCAAAAAACTATTAACGTTTCTTATTTTTATCTTTAAAAAGTTCAAAAACTCAAAGCTCCAATCAAGTTTCTGTAGAAATTAGGTTTGAAAACATACCTTAATTGTACTTGTGGTATACATTAGGAATGACCTGTCTTAATAACCAAGGTATTTAGCCACTACAATTGGAATAATATTACACAAGTTTCTGTTATTTAAATGTTCAAGAAATATTTTGCCTATGATTTCAATAGGAAACATATTTTTACACAAAAAATCCTTGATGTTGACCAATTCTTGGAGCATACCCTCTTACGTACTAGATATTTTAAACATACCAAGAATAAATATTTTAACTACATTTTCTTTAAAGACATAAGGAATAAAACTTTCAAAATTAAAGTATAAACCTGTAAATATTTTCTTATGATATATTTCACATTGGAACTCTCCATCCATGTAGAAATTAGTGTTCAGAAAGGGAAGTTTGTGATCTTGAGGTTCTACAGTAATTGTTATGTTGTTTTGTCTACTATTTAAATGCTGTACAAATTGGAAGGTTTGATCAGAATCCCTAAAACTAATGAAAGTATCATATATATATCTGTGGTAGTAGAGAGGTTTGAACTTGAGGGTAATGTACCTGCCATTGTTTTTAATGGTGTTACAGGAATAAGTTGGCTAAAGATGGCGCAAGTCTCAAACTCATAGCGACTTTATTGATCTGACCATTCAATGAGAAGTGTGAATCTTTGATGGCAAAATTCATCAGTTTGAAGTCCAGCATTGGAGTTGTCTTTAAACACAAATTTCGCACTTGGTTCTATTTTCTCTTCTGGTGATATATTGGTAACAAAGACTCAATATTGAAGCTCGCACAATGCAAATCATCGTCGAATTTGAGTTATCGGATTTCTTGGGAAAATTCGAAACTATTTTTCAGGTGTATTCATTTGTGGTAAAAAAAAATTAAGAATTCCACCATAAAACCAGCCAAGGAATAAGTCATTAGTTCCAGTGTTAAACAC